GGGAGTAGAGTATGGTTGTACAAGATTTCTGGATTATGCCAGGGAATCAGTACTTCGGGGATGCTGGGCAGCCAAAGGCATCTTTGCTGCATTGTGAGGTTGCGTGGAGCTCCAAAATCTTCCCAAAACCCAAAGTATCCTGAATTTGACTGCGTTGGCTTGCAAATCTCTCGTAACTGCTATCAGGCTTAGCCTCTCTTTTCTGCACTAAGCTTGCCTGTAGACAAGGTGTCAGTTGGGAGACATGTGCCTGCTGTGGCGTGGACGGTATCCTGAGCTGCTTGAAACCTTTGATGGGGCACTGTATGTCTTGCATAAGACGTACTCCAGGCCCTGAAGCCTATAAAAACTACCTGGTTCGGGCAGGTTTGCGAGGTTCCGCTGCCCTCACTATAAGCTAGCTGTGGCACGCAAATGACAAAGAATGCAAGTGTGCGTTGCTTCGAGAGCCCAGAGTCAGGTTCCCTGGTAATTAGCCGGGTATGCCAGGACTGTACGACATTACGCATACGCAACTTATAGATGGTCCGAGCATGTGGCGTTGATGCCATCATCGTACTTCTGGGACTTAAGACCTTACGCATGCCGATGGGTTATTTCCGCATGCATTCCATATTCTATAGCAGATGCGCATAGTCAAATACCTGCACCTGGAGGAATCGGGCCCTTTTTTCCGAGAACCCAGAACCTGAACCCGGAGGCTCTGTGCATCAGCAAAGGGCCCATTCCTGCAGGCCATCCTCCGTGTCCACGCAGGCCTTGTGGCGAGTAGGACTTGCATGTATTATTAGCAAGAAGCAATCGCTTCTCCCTGGTATTGAAACACGACTTCCCTAATCCAACATGCGCACTCGATACCAGGAATGGATCTTTTGGACCCCCCGAACAGGACTAGTTCAAGTCTTGAAGTTGCGCACCTCTCACAGGCACTATTGCAGAGCCCTTCTTGCGGGAGTTCGCCTACTTACTTTCGGCCTGTTGAGAGTTTGGAGTGTTTCTGGAACCGTGGTGTTTGTATAGGGTCTGGGGCTTATAGGGTTTTGCATCTGGGCTTGGTTGGATAAGCACAACTGATTAACCAGAATCCTGGAAACCGCAACCCCTACATAAAGGCTGTGCTCAGAATCTAACCTCCAAACCCTGAACCACAAATCCCTACATCCCAAAGCTTACGTAGTTTTGTGGTCCCCAAGCACTAAAACTTCTGGACGTGCCCAACACAAAAACTTTTGCTCGGAACTTCTGAGCGCTTGCTCCTATTGAGAATGACATCTCCTGACTACAGCTGCCCCCTGGCGGTTCTGATTGCGAGTTCCCCCCTTTAGTTGTGATGTGGGCGCCACCCGAGTTGAAATCTGATGTAACGTGGCCGTAACCATGCGCCTAATCCCTGCATTCGGGCGTCTTATCCCCAAACCCCGAACCCAGTACATCCCAAAGCCTGAATCCTAAATCCTCAAACCTGTAGACCTAAATCCCCAACCCCTTAACCTACCTAGATCCCTAAACTATGACCCGGGCCTCGTCCAAAGAGGCCAGTAGGATGATGGCTTCCGGGGAGGTGCGACTTACGGCCCCATGCTCGAACATCTTTTTGTAGATGCCTTGGCACAGTATAGCAGCTAAGCTAGATGGCAGACTGCTTTGGAACGCTAAGGAGGATTGTAAGGATACACAAGATTATAAGTTGACTTTTCAGGATCCTTATAAGGAGTTCCTTGAAGCTGAATCATCTCAGGCCGGTCATAATGCAACGTCACAATGACATACATGCCCCTTAAAGCATACGACTGCTAGCGCGTCTGTTTGTGTAAGCATGCTGTTTCAGCAGAATGGACTGGTTGTTGAAGATGCAACCCAGTGCTCCTGCAAACAACACGCGCGCTGGACGTTCAAAAGCAAACCTGGCAACTCCTCACAAACTAAAAACAAAAGATTGGTGGTGAATAGTTGAATAGCTGTCCAGTATCTAAGCTTTTTTCAGATGTCAATGTTTATCTTTATTGGGCTGTCTTATTGCCCGGATAAGGTTAAGGCTGCACACGTGAGGGCTTGACATCTTGGATTCATCCGTTTTTGGAATTCATTGGCATTTCCATGGGTATGAGGATTGATTCTCCAACAGGTCTCACTTCAGAAGACCAAAATATACTAGATGCCGCACTTTTACAACGTGGTAACCAACAATGGTCGAATATTTTGCGATTAATATAAACCCCAGTATATAGCAGTTTCCATGTTCTTTTACATTTTCCATACCCCTGATTATAACAGTCCTATACATCCCTAATATTATAATCTAGTTTCAGAATAACCCAAAAGCCCAAATATCGCTCAAGCAGCAGATTGAAGCGTAGCTGAAAACGTTACCCTGATCAGCAAACAAGTACTGAATCGGGAATTCCACACCAACAATTTGAAAAACAGGGGGGGCCCAACAATCCTGTTATCCTTACTATCGGGACCCCCCTCAAAGAGAACCCTTTGAGCCGGACCCCATTTTCTGCCAATACCTGAAAAGCATACCCAGACCCTCTGCAAGAATGCAGGTTGGGCTCTTCGGGTCGTGCGCAGTAGAGCTTGGCGCAACTGATTCAGGATAGTCCTTTGAGGCTGTCTGTTGGGTTGCACGCTGCGATGTTCTTAAACAAGCTCGCTTGACATATCTTCTTGGTACCTCGATGGAAACAAGACTGTGCATGCATGGCTGTGCTTGTCACTCGGTCGTTGTGCCCGGCACCTCTCCTGCATCTCTGGGCACAAAAAGCAAAATAGTTAGAACCATGTGCTTGGGATCTAGGGTTCTGTCCCACGTACCCGCATGCCCCTGAATCGCGTGGGGCAAAAGGCACAAATTCTGTGGTGGTGCTATGTACCCAAAAAATCAGTCTGCTGGGCTGCTATCGAGACGATGACACCAAAGCCTCTTTGTTGGAAATTGTGGGATCTGGTTGAAGCAAACAGCATGAGGCAATTCGGCTTAAGTTAAACTCGGAGGGCGCCCAAAACGGATCCTCGACCCTAAATGTCCAGGCTGCCCTTCAGCAGCGAAAGGTCCACTTTACCCACAAAAAGTTTCGCCTACTATTTATAGGTATAGGACGACACGCTAGTGTTCTCTGAAGTAACGGTAAATGGCTATACGATATTACCGGGTCATGACTATCGTTCTCCCTACCTAGCCTGTCTATTGGGAATGCAAAATGGGACCTCCCCGCCACAAGCACATTAGTATCAGCCCGAAAGCATCAACTCTGACATGCGGATGTTGCACAGCCCTTTAGGGGATCTGGGTTCCCTATGTGAGGGTCTCGAAGATCAGCTTCGGAGTCCAGGGAATCAGGCTTCCCACACGCTGTTGGATTTTGTAAGGTTGACCCCAAGACTGGCCCTGGACCGCTGGCTTGGAAATGCTGATACAGCTGTTACTGAAGGTCGTTTGGGGATTCCTGAATTTACGTTGTGCGCACATCTGCCTTGAGGAACTGAAAGGCAAATCCTGCCGAAACCGTTTCTAGCATCCAGCATAAGCCGCGAGGTGGCCAATTCCTACGTAGAACCCTTGAAACATCCCTATGAGAATCCCGCGACAAGTCAATACCGACCGCATTGCAAGGTGTGCTGAGGACTTGTCGGATTGATTTCCGGCTCCTTGGCTGTGGAAATGGGTCAGGTTACTACTACTGGCTCAGTACTCTGAAGAAGTTCAATAAAGCTGTTGTTGCTGTTTTGCAAATAGTCGTAATCTCGTAGGCAACCCCAAGAAGATCATTATATGGGCGGTTGTCAAAACTATGGGCCCTTTTTGGATCCCCATTATAATACGGCCCCTANNACCCAAAAAAAGGGACCATAGTTTTGAAAACCACCCATATATGTATACTACGAACAACTCCTCTTCGATGCTAAGAACCCGGGGGAGTCGAATCAGCAATGCTATTACCCTAAGGGTCCAAGGACCCAAATACGAGGGTTTTAGAGCCCAAATACTATAATATTTATGGTGTTTGGGCCCTAAACCCCTATTTTTGGGGTCCTTGGACCCTTAGGGTTATGCTCATGCATCTGAAAGGTTCAAATGGCCACGCCAAGCTTAGTAGCCCTGCAGATACGCCGTGGCGAACAAGACGGCCTTCTCCCCTGACCCCCCCAATTGCCGAGAAGGGGGCTCTGGGAGGCACCCTACACTGGGCACATGGCTCGTACACTGCTGCTCTACCGCATCATCCTTGGCATGAATCCTGGTAGAATCTCAGGTGCCAAAGCAAGCCTACTCAATGGATGCATTGTGTATGTACAACAGAATTGGAAAACATGCTGTTGATGCACAAGTCCTGCTTGACGATGTGGAGTTTGTGATGGGCGTTCAGCGTGCTGATGTTGCTGGCGTTGCGGAATGTCATCTTCAGATGTAAATGCCAATCAGAATTGCACAGCATCCTGTGTAACTCATGGCAGTAGCTCCCTAGCCCCGCAGGCACAAAGGAGACTCACCCCCGCAAGCTTGCGCACCAAAAGCCTCGGCAGCTATCCCTAAGGGTCCAACTACCCGAATAAACGGGATCTAGATGCATGAAAGCACTCAGGGTCTGGCATTGTGGCTCCGAATGCAACTTGAAGTTCGGAGATACGGTATACTTGCATGAGCAATTCCATGGCTCTCTCGGAAAATATCTCAAGCTCTCAGTCCTAATGAGCACTATTTGCCTAGGCCCCTAACCCTAAATCCTGAGCACCAAGCCCAACACCCACCCTCACATGCAGAAAATACTCTGCCATCCGAAGCACCGGCGGAACTACCGGGAGTACATCCTGGAAGAAGTTTGGAGGGCGCTAGGATTCGGGTTACGGGGCTTTGGGAAGTTGTGTGAAGGATTGAGCTTTTGCTAAGTCACGCGCCTTCTGTCCTGACCTTGAAGGATCTAGGTGGGGACAAGTCTGACTGCTCCAAATTGGAATTGTCCTCTTGAAAGGACCCACGTTGTTGACAAATTTCCAGATCAGCGCTCCCTGAAGCCAAAGACCCAACTCTCCAGCCAAGACCTCAGGGCACCTTAACACTGGGGATAAGGTTGGCGAACTTGAAAAAATCTCGAAGAGAGATGGGCCCTGCAGCAGATGTAGCAACATATCCCTCGTGCTCCAATCACTGAGCAAATTGACTATGTCCCTACAAATCTTGCTCTAGGCTAGTCTGGATCTTTAGGGTTATAGCCCCTAACCCTTGGATGCCCTTAATCACTGAACCCTAAACCGCCGGGATCTTTCTTCCCAGGTGCCTCCGTCAACGAAGGCACCATCTTCCTCAGCCATGTCTCTGGCACCTCCTGCAAATGCGAACACAAAAGAATCTTCCTCGAGGAATGGAAGCAAAAATAGAAGCTACTCTTTTGGCTTTAGGGCTTCGAAAAAAAACCGGAAAATGGAAACGACTGGCATAGCAGATTATTTAGCTAAGGGCTACCGTACACAGGGATCCGGGATGGGTAGGTAGGGATGTGAAGGGAGGGGGTAGGTATGGGTAGGTATTAGGTTTACTTTAATTCGGGCCCTACGACAGCCCGACCACTCACCAGACACGCATTCCTCCAGTCCCGGTTGGCAACCAGCTAACGAAATCTTCCTTCCACGCACCATTCCGACCGTCAGCACCGTCAGGCCCTTTGACTCAAACACATCACGCCATCAATACATAGGCATGTAATCCAGAACAGCATGACTGGCTATCCTACATATGTAGTGCGGTTCTACTTTACCTAAGCATGATTGCCATTGGACGACCAAATCCACAAACCAAGGCCACTTCACTGTAAACCCTCCATCTAGCCCTCTCACGACATCGCAGGCATTAAGGGACCCTTAGTAGCTAAAGACCCCTAACGAGAACATGATGTCTGAAAAGTTTGTAAGATTGAGGATAGTTTCCATTTTTCCTCTCCCGTACTAAGTCCAACTCCAGAAGGTACTGTCCTTTGTCAACTCCTTGGATGACCTGAGCCCACTCGTAGCCACACAGACAGCAGCTGACTTGCAGGGTTGGCGGCTGGCAGCTCTGTGCATGTAGAGATTGCCCAGGGTTCCAAAACCACCGAATTAAGCAGAACCTTGCTACTTGCATTTGGAGCTTGACTATGGCTTGGGTATATTCCAAAAACAAAGGGTGTGGAAAGCTCTGGAAGTAGAATGGCACTTTTTGGATCCTGGGGTGCCATAGACAGCTTGCGGAACTACCTTACAAAGGGCTGGTGTTTAGGTGATCCCCACACTCCAATCGCAACCACCCGGGATAATGGCACCCAGAGTAGGGTCCCCACATTGTCCAGCTACAGCACTACCTACCCTAAACTCCGAAACAGAAACTGCGGTAAAGTAGCTGAAGCTGAACTGCGGGCCTTTGATGCCTGTTGTGAGGATGAAAACCATGCACAGAGACCGCAAATCCTGCACGGCTTCAATATGCTCGAATACCATCATCAGGAAGCTAGAAAGAATTCAGAGTCATGCATGGCATTGTAGTATCAACTTGATTACTGAGTATTGTCAGCTCGTAACCAATGTTTCGGAAAGGGGGCAGCTGTTAAAAGTATTTTCAGGCCAAATGTACCGTGTTGCATCTGATGTCAGGGGGGTCAAAATGGGCGGTTTGAAGCACAAGTATGTGCCATCAGTACAATAAGGAACACGTTTTCCCCTATGGGGTGCAGCAACTCACCTGACCGACTCAGGCGCAGGCGCCTCGTTCATGACCTGCAGCAAGGCATCTTCACCAGAAAAAATATGGGTCTATTACAAAATCGAAGTCTGGTGCGGGGAGTCCCTCTACTCAGGTTGGGGTACAATGGGGTCTACATCGGGGTCCCCAAATTATGGAATGCCCCATGTTTTGCTTCATTTCGCTTAAACAACATCAGTGAAAAGCATCGTTCGAAAACCGTAACAGGGACTTATGAGGTTATTCAAGACCTGGGTTATTTGCCTAAAGTAGCCCAAACCCCTCATCAGGGGAATGCGAAGCCCCGTGCGAAGCTAGTATCAGGTCACCATGAAAATTTAGTACACGAGCGCATGAATAGATCCTGGACTTCGGTAGCGCCAATGCCTCAGGCAGTCTTGCGTCCGTGCTTGGACGGTAATCCTTCATTCGAGCACGCTCAAGCAATTTACAGTACAGTAGCTGCGCCGCCGTGTGGCACTGTGTGAATGTTCATCCGTCTGAATGTTGAAGCGCCAGCCCGGGCCAGCCCCCGGGAAAAGACAGAAGAAGCCAATTTCCAGAATAGAACGCGTCAATCGCCTCAACTGCCTTTGAGCGGATCACCAAATTCAAATCCCCGAGCCCCAAGCCCTAAACTCAAAACCCTACCCCAAGGCACCTCCTGCATCTGTGACTTGCTCCTCTGCACCACCGCGTTCCTCACTTCGTCCAGCATCTTCTCCTTCTCCTGTCAAGCGTGTCAGAGTTTATGGCGGAGATACTCTTCGAATTGACCCATCATGTTCAGAAGCCCCCCCTTCAGATGCCTTCTGAAAAGAGAGGCTCCTTCCAAAAACGCTTTGTGGCAACTGGCTTGTCCATTTTTGGGCTGAACCAACATTGTCTGTTGCTGTGCCTTCAAGATGGAATCCGGATACCCCAAACCCGAGGGAACATAATTACCTGATTCACATACTAGAAACTCCAGAATTTTGGGAGTTTGCAGTGGTGCAAGGTTTCGCGTATCCAGTGCTGGGGGCGCACGCTGCACCTAAACCTTGAACTCCAAGCCCTCAAGCCCTACCCTGCAAACCCTACACCTTTTTTGCGTCCAGCATTGTATATCTAAATTCAAACCCCTAAACACCTAACCCTAGGGCCGGCTCCTCAACGGTGACCATCATGCCCAGCTTCCGCAGCACCACCGGCGCAAAAGTCCCGTTGATGAGCAAGGTCAGCGTTGCAAAGCCGCTGATGTGGAAGAGAACCTGCAGGTTTGCTATCAAACCTTTAGAAACTCAAGGGAACCCTGAAAAGAGCTGCGCATGATGGCGGAGGGACTCCGCAGCACTTTGGCCGCAATTTCCCGGAAGACCGTCAACAGCCCCAGCAGAAGTATCCGCTACCCGTCTCTTCCTAAGGTTCTATAGACCCTATAAGGCCCAAGGCTGTCTGCATGAAGCTACCTCAAAACATACCAGTAACGGAGCAACCTCAGTCAAGGTGCTTCTCAAACAGGGGGCCCTGGCCAGTCCAAGGGATATCTGGGCATTACGGTGTTATAGAGGAATTCAGAGGGAATCTGGGGGTTCCAATTAGGAGGCTGTTGTGGCAAGGTTAGGACTGAATCATCACCAACTATTCATAACATGGCATGATATGCGCTTTAACATACCGAAGCCTCACAGAGAGACCCCGCAAATCCACTCGTAAATGATTTCCAAACATGCTTGTATATCCCAAAACTTTGCATGTCCCTACAGGAAGCCTTGAATCCTGAACCCTCACTTAGCAACTCATTAGCTCCCATATCTGGGCTTCGTCACAGTTAGCCTGTAGTTTGCTTTTGGGGCTTTATGTTGCACAAGGAGGTTGGAGATCACCTGCCAGAAAGGCAAAACTTTATGCTCAAGCCTGCGAGCCCTCGAGGTCGGTAATGCTCGTCTCCTGCAAGTAGCTCCGGCTTCTCAAGAAGAGTGCATGCGGGCGGCTCTCTAGAAGGATGTAAGAGAGACTCTAGAGGGAATGCTTCTGAGCAACTGGCGCGTGTCATTGGGCTCGAGTATCTGTGGCCAGGTGCATGGCAAATGGTAGAATACATGGATCTTCATGGTATTCCCTTTCTCGTGTACTTCAAATTGGTAGCAGCCGTCTTAAAAGGCTGGACTATTACGCTCAAACTATGAAGCCAAAGCCTGCATCACAGCACTACAGCTCCAACCACACGTAGCACGACACAGCAGCCTTGCAAGGCCAGTCACCACCAGGACTTTCCTTGTACCCTTAATTGGGGATATATGGTCCCTAATAGTGGGTACTTAGGCCCTCAAAGGCCCTAATAGAGGGTAGGAGGAGGGTCTAGGCACATAACCTTGATTTTTAGATTCCCTCCTGAACATTTCCCTAAGCCTACCATGCGGTCGTTATAGAATCTTAGTAGGAGGCAAGGGCTGTAAAGTTGGCCAAGCCATCAGTGGCGAGAAGCAGCACGGCATGGCGTCTGGAAGACATTTGATGAGACGGCTGTTTCCATTACGCAGGCCACAAAGTACCTACATGGGAACCCCTTCGGGCTGCAAATATAAACTGAATAGGTACCTTGACGTTCCCTAAATCCTAAACCCCTAAATCACCCTAAGGCCTGAACTTCTATCTTTCTTTTTAAATATCAAGGACCCTAGACCCTAAACTACCCTAAGTCCTAAACCCCGAGACGACCTCTCCACCTTAGACCCTAAATGGTCCCCGACCCCAGCTATCCCAGCATCCCTCGGCGGTTTCCTGGTCAAGAAGAACTGCCATCAGCAGACCGATGGCTCCGCGGAGGCCAGACCAAACCTCAAGAGCTCAGCCATTCAAGGGCTTTGTGCTTGCATGAAGGCCTAGAATATAGGGACTACTCTACACTGAAGAGTTTTCAGTAGCTTTGAGGTTTAGGAGGGTTTATGGTGGAATAAAGAGTTTCGGGCTGCTTCGCTGTAAGGCAATGTACCAGGAATACATATGGACTACCCATTCCTCTAGGATTTGTGGCTTAAGGCCTGGCGATGCATCTAGAGCTAAGCTCTTTTGCTACGGGCGCAGAGCTTATGACGTTTAGGATTGAGGCCTTGGGGCTGAAGATGTTTAGGAGTTTAGGATTTAGGACTGAGGGCTAAAGGCTTTGTTTGCATCAGGGCCTCAGGGCTTGCAGATGCTTGAGATGCGCAGGCCTGTGGGCTTAGGCCTGGGGATGTTTAGGATTCAGGGCCTTTTGTTTAGGAGTTTGGGACTTTGTTAGGGGTTTCGGGCTTTGGGGTTAAGGAAACTGCATTCACAGGAAAAGTATAGCAACAGGCATCTTGTTTTGACACGAAATCCTGGGTCTCTCTTCGGGAATCTCTGCAGTGAGGGCCCTACTTCTGTGGGCTTCAAGTCTATAGGAAACATTTATAATTCTGCCCGCGCTACTCAGCAGCCAACTCTACCTACAGCAACGCTTGCAAGCAAAAACGACATTATCCGTCAAGGTTGCAGTCGCTTGCTGGTGGCTGGACAGCAGCAAAGGGCAGAATGGAACCCTGTAGCAGCCTCTACATATTTCGCATAATATGCCATGTCTTCATTCCATTTTCTGCCAAAAGTTGATTTGCAAGGAGTTGTCGCAATTTGACAAGCCCCCTAACGTGTGCAGCGCATGGACTTCAGGGGAAGGAGCTATTTGTGTCCAGCCTTGTTGGCATGGGGCTACGAGCAGCAAAACGGCGATCTCTGACATTGAAAAGTGTAAGGTACCCAAGGCAGACTCACAAAATGTAGGACGACCTTAATCCCGGAACCCCGCACAAGGCAGTATCAGGGGCGGTCTAGGGGCAGGAGGAGGAAAAGGGGAAAAGGGAGCCAGCATAAGATCCCACAAGACCCCAAACCCCTCAAGCCCCAGTCGCCATGACGACACCTTCCTCCCGCGTGAGCTTCACGTTGGCAACAGCCTGCAAGGGGCAGTTCTGGCCTTGCAGTTGCTGAGTTCGCAGAATCAAGGCTTTGTTACATGTAGGAATGCACGTTTGGTATCTGTGCTGCTCAGGAGTTGTCCAGTGAGGAAAACACCTACCTAGAATGACCTTTCACCCTTGTAAGCGGTTGAGATACCCACATATCAGGTACAAACCCCCCCGAACTTTAATGAGCACATATTAAAATGCTACTACGTGCTGCGACGACGACTCTCAGTGTTGACCCAGATTTTGCAGCTGATTCTGGCCTGCATAGGGCACCAGAAAAGCCCCTTGGCGTGGCTGAAGGATTGAGATCTGGGTGTGCTTGAGGGTTGAGGTTCAACTCTAGTTCATACTGGATTTTCAGATTTACTCCTGTGTGCGCTGGCTTGATTGAAATCAATGTTGGGTCGGAGGCTTAGAGAATTTGAGGAGACGGTCGCAGATCATGAGGGCCGGTGTCATGTTGGTAGTGCTGCTATCAACCTTCTCTAAATGGCCCCTTGCAACAGTCACTTGGCCACTGGACAAGAAGTCATGATGCAGCCAAGCGGCAACTGTTATGGCACGGACCACCATCAGTGTAATGTACCTTGGAGAGGTGTGGGGCAAAGAGAGCCCTGCAAATCCTGCCCGGCAATAGTACGGTAGCGATGTTTCAATGCCCGGACATTAAAACAGTTGAATAGGTATCTCAGTCTCATACTATCTCCGTGAGACGCCCCGTCGGGCTGCCAAATTTGACTACATCCGGAAGATTATTGTTTCCTGGAATTGTCACAGAACCCCACCAGGTCCTGAACAAGAGCAGTATATCATAATTAGTACAAAGCTCCAGCTTCCCGCCTCAGTTTCTTAGTATTAAGACCAAAGCTCAAAGACAAAAAATAAGAATTGCCGATGACAAATCCAGGACCTCCCCAGTACCCGGACTGCAGGGGAGTGCTCATTTTGGGGTTTTCGGGCTTTGGCGGGCCTTCGAGCCCGAAAAGCTTAAAACCAGTACTCCCCTCTCCTTTGCCGGGCCAAGGAATTGTATTCCCCGGCCTGCGAGGGAATACTTATTTCAATGCTTCGAAAAACTTGACCCAGAAACCTCGTCTCCTGCTCCTGCGCAGGCCCAGGAGCTGTCTCCTCTCTGTATTGGGACCAGGAACTCCCCAGTCCCCGGCCCGCGGGGGAGTACTCAGTTTAAGGTTTTCGAGCTTGAGAAGCTTAAGAAGAGCACAGGGTGCTTTGATGGAGGGGGCTTATACTGATTGGATTCATTAAAAATCCGGAATGGAATATGCGCATTGAAGCATATGTGGGCCTGCGGGGCTTGCCGCCCTCCATATAATTGCAGACCCTCAATGTAACGTTAGCAGTAGCACTAGCAGCCGCGGCGACAGCAGCACGACAGCTGCAGCAGCAGCAGCAGCAGCAGCAGCAGCACCAGCAGCAGCAGCAGCACTACCACCAGCAGCAGCAGCTGCTGCTGCTGCGGCGGTGAGAGTAATAGTAAGAGACAAACTTTCCATGTGGTAGCTCCCCGGTACCTAGTGGGTTCATTGACAGCTACCCACAGCATGTTTTTCATCTGCTTGAGCTCCCATGAGTAGCTTGGGGGTTTGCAGTCAGACTTCGCAGCTAAGACTTTCACTAGTACATGGAACTCTGTCAGGGTTCTAGTTTCGGATTACGACAATTCTGGTTAGTCGATTCCAACAAAGCCTCACTTCCGTTGCCAGCATCTGTGCAGACAAGGCGCATGCTGAACCTCAGTCACAGCTGGTGCCAATTCCAGGGCAGAGATGCGTGTGAGGTTTCGGGTTTGGAGTTGACGGTGTGGCGCTTGATTAGGGCTTTAGGGTTTGGGGTTCGTGCTTTAGCGGCTTGAGGTTTGGGAACAAAATGTGCGGTGCAACCTGCATAGCAAACTTGAATTCCAGCCGAGAAGATTATGCCCAAGTTCTGGCTGCAATTCTTGTCTCACTGCCATGAGAAATCAATGGAACAAAGGTCACAACAGAACTAACTTCACACAGGTCTATAGGACAAGGCTCCATCTAGCTCCAAAAGCGCCACCGCAATCCCTTAACATCCTCATATTAACACCTGATCAGTAATTTAGTGGCTTGTGAAGCTTTATAACAATTACCAGAGTCAGAATTGCCAGAGCAAAAGTGATCTATTGTTGATAAAAGAAACCGTGCACCGCCTTTCAGACCCATACCTCGGGAACTGCAGGTCTCTTGGGGGACGCAAGTGGGCATTTGTCTAAAGAACGAAGACTCCGCATGTACCATCAAAAGCTACAGTCTTCACTTAAGGGACGCCCAGAGGGAGCCCAAATTTGGAACCCCAAGCGTGCAAGATCTCCTGCATCCACTGTACGACAAAGTAATGGCGGATACTTGTGGTGGCTTGATTGGGGTCTTCCTGATAGAGGTTGCCAGGGATGTATGGGCAGCACATGCATGACAAGATTGTATGCTCTTTTCAGGGGGGACCGTGGAGCAGGTCCTGTACTACATCCCGTTATTCCCTTCATACGTCCTGCAAAGTGGGGTTCCTGTGTTGAAGCTCAGGCCCAACGGAGTCAGTGTGGGCCGTGCACTGCCACGTATCACAGAGAATAGGTGGCAGCCAATTGTATTTGAAATTCCTACCGATGGAAGGTTGTCAAAATTACGGTCCCCGGTCAGGCATAGCCTATATTAGGGGTCGTATACTACAGTGGGAACCAAGAATGGACTCAATATCGACAGCCCTCCATCTGCAACTTCCTTGCATTTGAGTATCTCATTCCAGAGCATATCCATGTCAGCATCAGTTCTGGAGTCGCTGCTGGCCACGCTCGTAACTACCATTGCAGAGCTCCCGTACTTGGAGGTTCAGGACAATTATATGATTATAATTTATGAGCTAATTAAAGTTGAAGCTATAACTCAGCCATACAGTAGTTTATCATTGCACTAGGGGGCTTGTAATTGGCTCTTCCCAGTATGGATCGCGGCCGAGCTGCATGAAAACCCAGTCCTTAAATCTGATGCTCTGGTGGTTCAACATCACATCTCCTGCAAGGTGGGGGCTATTGTTGAGTTTGAGTTTGCTTCGCTGGCATGTCATAAGGCAGATGGGCATATGGGCTGCTTCGATGTTTAACCATTGCAGAAGAACAGCGGTTACCTGCTTTCAGTTTGTTGCCCCAGCTGCCTAGCGCATTGCCCGTCCAAATGTTGGCAGTGACTCTTTGACCACTTTCAGTTTTGAGCTTGTTAGGGCCAATCGTGGCAGGGAAATGCAAATTGCGCCTGTTGGAAGCTATCTGCGTCGCTTGCAACTCAAGAGCCAAAGTGCGCATTTTGGAAGCGCTTAGGGCATGTGGAATGGATAGGGTCTTTTGGGACCGATTTGGCCTTTTAACCAAATTGCAGCTCCACTTTCTTTCGCGGAAGATGACCCACATTCGGGATTACATCGTTAGCCAAGCCCTGAGCGTGTCTCAGGCCCCGCACGGCTATAAGTGCTGAGAAGTCCCGGAGCGCAAACAACACCTGAAGGCGCAAAACTCTCCATGCCTAATAAAATGCCAGAATTAACATGCCGTCGCGGAGGTTTGTCAGCCCCCGCACGCACCCAACACGCATGGGCCGTCAGCAGGTTGTCCCGCAACAAGCATAGTTGGCCTGCGTCTGGCACCAGTTTGTGTGTGAGTGCAAGGCAAGGGGCTGTAAAGCTGGCAACTTGCCGAGGAAGTTGCCGCAGGGCGTGCAGATGCAGGAGTTTGAGAAGAGTACGGCCATCTCAGGCTAGTCGGCGATTTGCAGTGGGGCAGGCGTTGCTATCGTCGTTTGCTGTGGCTGTTGAATTTTTATGGCCGGGCCTGTGGCATGAGTGAGCATTACCAAAAGACGACGACCAAACCAATAACGGCTCCTCTCACTCTCACCATTGCAGCCGTCAATACCACAAAGCAAATGATCTCAACCATCTAATTAAACTTCTGGGCTGTTCTCCAGTCAATACCAAATCCAGTACATACACCCTCATCACGTCGTTGTAATCCCTTGATATGTGTTGAGAAGGCCCATGCGCGTCGGATCTTGACTTGCGTCTCCCTTCCTGCACACCCCAAAGGAACCCTAGTCGGGGGCTTCGCTTCTCAAAACAGGGGCCCTGCGGCACCAGTAGGATACGTCGGGAGTACCCAAGGAAGATGGGAGATTCTGTCAGGCGCCACATCCTAAATAAACCTAAGCCTACACTTCCGCATGATCCAATCCAGTCCTGAGATGATGCCTCCCAGCCTTAGCTCTCCGCACAAGAGTTGCTTCTTGGGGCCCCTCAAAATTACGGGGGGTGCCGTGTTAAACAGGGTTATAGGGGATATACAAGTCCAGACAGGATGAGAGGGCTGCATGGAGCTTACGACTTCCAAAAGCAAGGATCCTCTTTTGAAAAGTTCCCACATGAAGGCCTGCATGCCTTGGTAACCTGTAAGGGGGGGCGTTGCAAGGATTCTTGGGTGATTACTGGGCGCTAATAGTCACCAGAAAGGACAAAGGTCCTAGCAGGGGAATGGGTTAGAGATTGCTCTGGGGGGATCATTTTAGGGACTACCACAAGGATCCATTGCCTCGAACTGGCGCCCAACTGGGATAGTTTTACAAGTCTCCACGATCTATTCCTTGCCTTTTAGAGCCCATAACCCCTGCGACAGCTTGGTGGCATGAAGACCAGGGTGTTGCCCACGAACTCAAAAATGTGCCACACGGTGTGCAACACCTGCCGTCGCGTGCTCGCAATGGAAACCAAAAAGCATGCAGAGGCGCGATTGAGCTCCAGCACTAGTAGGTAAACTAGGACTAGTAGAACTAATGGTTTGTCGCATTGTTCTGGCATTCGCTGCTGTAGTCATCATGGTGAACCGCGAGCAGATCGTAAACAAGCAGCAAGAGCCTGCAGCACTTCTTCTTCTCAGCTAGTAGGATGGATCACAGGCATAGACGTAGAAAGGGCAGCAGCAAGCAAAACGAGAAACTTGCATAGAGCCCTGTCAATGAGGACTATAGCCGGGAGCACATTATTGGACCAGAGTTGCGTGAGTCAGTGCCTCCATCTAGGAGGCACGCCAAACCCACCCTACATGCGGCCTCAATTACCCCAAACTTCTGGTACAGGCTTTGGGCCTCGGAGGTTCTTCTTAAAACGGCTTTCGGATCATGTAGTGCAGGCTCTGAGTCTTTCCGTGTATGCGGGAAATCAAATTTTCAATCATTTCAAGATTATTCAGGAATCACTGCTCATCTGCTTTCCAAACCTTCAGCTGGAAACCGCGCACCAGAATAATCTCATTGCAGACTGATAGACTCTGCACTAGAACAGGCACAGCTGCTTTTTTTCCTCTGAGATTCTCTCCCAAACCCTAAGCGTGAAATCCCTTTGATTAATTACCTTGCATCAGATGAGGGGTCCCGGTA